GAGAAGAGGACAGACAGCAGAAATTCCCTAACACAGACTGGGACTTGCCAACATACCAGCCATTTAAGTTTTGTTATCAGGGACTCAACAGAAAAGGATGCCAAGGACCACAGTAACATTACTTCATTGATCTTAACCAGATGTCATCTCACACAGGGTATACAGTAACACTCTTACATGAGTAATTAAAGCATTACATATCTGTGAAACGCTACACTTTCACCCAAATGTGATTTAACAAGTGAATGGTTCCTAATGGATGTAGTTATTCCAGTCACATTACTGATGTTGTTTCTCTCAGAACTGCTGAAAAGCTCAAATAAAACAGAAAGGAGGACGCAACTACCAGAACTGTGACTGGGCATCTTCCTTGCATGTATAAAACAGATCTAAACTTGGGATGTAATACCACTTCTGCTGAGATGCAGTGCCAAAACAAATGCATTTGCTCTCCACACTAAGCATAAAAGGCAATGCTAACATGCAAAAAGCTGTGTCCTCTTCATTTGTCTGTTTCCTAAATTGAGTCACTTTCAAGTTTATTTAAGGTACATGAACATCATGTCATGAAGACAGATGCTGGAGTTCTAAAGATATTGCTGAAGGAAAAAAAATAAAATTCAAGGTCTCTAAAAGTCAGCATCAGTAAAAGCAGATATAATTTTAATTTCTGCAGAATACAGCAACTGACTTCACTGTATTTCCACAGAATTTAAAATAAACATTAACAGGATATATTCACAGGTATTTCAGCACTTAACCTTATTGCTAAAACAGTATTTTGTTTCAGGCCTAACACTTCATTTTGATTTTATAGAAACTGAGAAATAAATTAGAACTCATACATGAAGCTCATGCATGAGCTCTCAATTTAAAGCAGCCTCTGGATTACCATTTAAGAGCATCTACACATGAAGTGCAAACAGTACTGATTTTTTATTTGAAAAGCTGTCAAGTTAATAAGAAGCATTCAGCCTGGACATAACATTCCATGCTCTGCAGGTAAGTGTTAGAAGAAAGCTCCCTAACCAAGGTAAGCCCATACAAAAACATTCGGTCTAGCCTTCTAAATCAAACTTTAAACAATAATATTCCGGCTAAGGCCATGTCTAGCAAATTGCATTTAAACAGCCCACAAAAATCCATTTAGTCTTTCATTGCCAGAACAGCAATGGGGGGTAGCAAAAACTCATATGTTCTAAAGTTTCTAACTGTAAGTGATTGATGGGATAAAGGATTGCAGACAATGTCTGAGACTGGAAAAGAGGTAAAACGTAGTGTATATTCAAAGCTAAAGAAAACAGCATCGTCAGAAGAGGAGACAGAGCAGAGGCAAAGTGCATGCACATCCACAGCTCACCATGCTTTCTTCTGAGCCAAGCTGTAGCCAGATTGTACCCATAGCACATTCAGTTATTTACGCAGAGAAGTCCTGACATCTGTTTTTTGCCTCCTGCCCTTTACTGGATGATAGAAAGTAAAAGCCACAGTGGGTGCAGCTTCAGCAAGAGACAGAACTTCAGTTTCTGCACCAGTGCAGCCTCATCACTGCATCATTCTCATGTGCATCACCGCTATCTTGAGTCAGAGTTTAGGAAGCTGAGAGATCTGCCAGTAACTGTCTACTATTTGCTGGTAGATGCTGTGCAGTTCACCCACGAAGATGTTTATAGTGCTATCAAATGTTGTCTTTTTGAAGCATAAAGATCATCTCCTACAACTCTACAGATATTCATGATCTACAGCATGAAGGAAGGCACTACGGCACTGCATTTAGGTGATAACTGCATCTCCTATTCCCATCAAGAGATTTAACTGCTGTAACCTCAACAGCATATCTAAGACTGAAACACCACATAGGCCGTTTCAAGCAGGTAGTAACTCATTTCTTGAACTCACCCTCTACAGAAACATCACAGCACTGAAAATTCACAAATAGAATGAATGCAGAAGATCAAATATGGAGTTCATTTGATTGCTCACACAAACAACAAGATAACACCTGCTGCCACGGAGCTTCTGAGGTAGTTTCCTCTTTCAAGGAAGAGTCTTGTCTCACATCTTTCTGCAGTCCCTGGGAATTTATAGATGCCTGCAAGTATTTTACATAACTGCCTCTCTAACGTAAAGTACCAAAGAGCTGCATGAACTGGTCTTATCATTTCCTTCCTAGTTTTTCCATGGCTTTTCAGGGATTCAACTTCAATAAATGTTTTGTCAACAGAAGAGAAGAGATGCTGTGCAGAACTGAAGAGAGTTAGGTCTGTTTGCAAAGCTGGAAAGCAGGAGACAAGAAAGGCCTTCAGCCTTGCATAAAAATTCTGTGCTCTTCACAAAGCTAGGCACCCAAGAATTCAGCCACCACTAGAAATTCAAGGGATGCAAAGAAGCTGTAACTTTTTTTTTTTTTTTTAAAGAGTTATTTCCCACGCCAATGTAGGTGAAGAAAAGCTTAGCAGCAACCTTTCATTTTCCTATCTACTCCAGACCTAGGACATACACATTTCACCACGCACATCACGACTCATTCACAAGACAGCATGCAGTGCTATGAATTTACAATACGGGGTTAAAGTAAAGGACAGAGTTCAAGTGTTTACCCCAGCTTCAGCCTCATGTTGAAGAGCAATGTGCACTTAGTCTCCACGGTGGGCAGGTACTACTGTATCATGACAAGCAAACACTAGAGGATAGAGTACTATAAAGGTAAATTTAACTAAACAGTTGTAAAAAGTTATGAAAAGACATAAGTGCAACTGCTAGTACAGTGCCTAACACAATCAAGCTCTTGTTCTTAGCTACTCCCTAGACATTACTCTGTAACTGAATTGTAAAAAAGCATTCAGTCCTTTAAGTGCAGAACTCTTCTCATCTTGCAGAACATATGATTCCTTCTCTTCATTTGAATCCTCCTACAAGGCAAGTCTACTACACAAGGGGGAAAGAGGCATCATTAGTTAAGAACGAAACCACTGAACAAAAACCCACAGACAAACTGGTTGAAAAACAGGCCTTCCAGTCACAACACTGGTTTGTACAGGACCCTGTGGTTTTTTTTTCCCCCCTCAACACTACTTCCACTTCTCTGCTCTCACTTGCCTTCATAAAACCCTCACGCTCCTTGGTTATGTCATTTAAAGTACCTGACAGATTATACAGCAATCCATATTAATACAGCTCCATTAAGTGACCCATATTAACTGCTCAGCAGAAAGACTTGGTAGCAACACAACAGCAGAACGGATAGAGGGATGGACTACCACTGCTGCTATTAAAATAAGTGTTATCTACACACCTTCCTATTTTCACCCTTCTGTAAGGAGTGTAGACTTATGTCTGAAATTGTCTCCAAGAGTGGGAAACATAACTACTGTTGTGAACTTCGTATCTGCACAAGAGCTCAGAAAACATCTTTACTACAGCATCTGCTGGCCTGTATTTCAACCTCCCTCACTAATGAACTAAACAGCTGCAAAAATGTGGTGAAGATTTCACGATCTACACTGGTATTCCCTGGCTCTACAATAGGTTAGATTAACAACATAAATCTTAGAGATTAATAAAGAATTATTTTGCGTTATCTGATTAGAAAATAAGGGAAAAGAAATGTTTTCCTGATTGAAGTAAAACAGAAATTTAAAGCAATTGTTAAGGACTGACTTCAGAGTTTCCACTACTCCTTTGTGCTTTTTTTCTTGGCTGTCATACAGAAAAGTTAAAATGCTTTTATACATTTCCTAAATTTACTTGGCATCTTGGCAATTCATCTCCTTCATGCACCTCAAAACTTGCCGATCTAAAGCTTAGTGAAACATGAAGTCTACTATTCAACTTAACTTTATTAACTGTATATTCATTTATTGTTAAATTTACTGTTCAGACTAAAAAGCAGAGATTCTGAACCAGAATCTCATGTGATTCACAGGTGCCAGATCTTCATTCTTGATAGGGGATTGTGCATGCCTAACAATAAACTCTTGTGATTTATATGGTCATTTATTACTTACATGAACTCCTTTTACTGTTCAGATTCTACAGTTATAGCTAGACTTGCCAAACGAGAACAATTCAAACCCTATGGTTTCTTCTAACAATAAGAAACAAAGCCAGACTGAAAGCAACCAGAGCTTATAACTTCATTTGTAATGGCAGAAGTGAAAGAAGTCAAATTTATTGTTTTATAATTACCAAGTACAACTGATATATTTTGACTGAGTAGAAACTCTAGTTAAGATCTATAAATGTATCATTTAAAAAAAAAAAAAAAAAAAGGCTTTCAGCTTACATCACTAAACTACATACAGATTTAATGACTTCCTCTCAGCCTCTGAAGACACTCTAGTAAAAACTAGGGCCAACGTACCTCCATTTAGCAAAGCACACCTACTCACATGTAGTAAGGCAGCAGGAAAGGATCAGCATTTCTCTGTTCAAGAGCCAGTTAGTGCAATGTTATGTTACTACTGACATACCAAACCTTTCCTTCCCTTAGACATCAAAAATCTACTCCCAGGTGGTAGTCTAGTAACTGCAGGTGAGATGCATAAATCTAATTAAATCCTGTCAGCTCTTCATATCTATAGACACACTTCTGAAAACTCTGTAGAAACAACTCACATTTCACGATGTTCTTAATATGAAAATAAGAGGTTGAATTTTAACCTAGAACACGTGCCAGAACAAGCTTCCACCAAGTATATTCTTCACAAATAAGTTCAAAATCAGATCACATCTAATCTTAAGTACAAAAAGTTTTTGCAACATTATTCAAAACTCTCCACTCTTTTATTCTGCAGAGAATCCTTTGTCACAAGCTTAAACCAGAAAACACAGCAGGCAGAAGCAGAAACTCGACACAGGAAGAAAAACTGTTTTTTAATTTCTAGTATGCTAACAGCACTGTACACAGAAGGAACAAGGAGGAGCAGAGGCTCCTTTTCTGAAAATAGCTAGGATTATGCAGGGGGGCCCGACCTGAGTAATGAATACCAGATGCCTACCTTCACTGGTAGCTGCATTCTTCTGGGCTTTGGTGGGCGTGTGATCTGTACTTGAACTCACGTCGGATGAGATGCTTGAGCTGCCTTTGCCTGCAAAAGGAGAAAGAGGTAGAGAGGATGAGAAAGAACAAACGCAAGTATCCACAGCAAAGAAGAAATGCCCTCCATATCAAAACCTGGAAAAGTTCCAGAAAGCTTTAAACTGATTTTAAAACAGCTGATGTTCATTTTGGACTCATCTAGGTGGAAGCTAACTGCATGGTAGTTCACACCATATGCATCCTTACATGTACTACAGCTGCAAACAGGTTCCAGTGTCACAGGGGTTTCATATTGAGTGAAAAAAATGTGATTAATGTCATTAAGAGAACTTTCCTAACCAGTTTTCTAATTCAAGTACCTCTAAAACAGATCAGCAGAAATGGACACTGACCCTTACAAGCACTGATTAAATTCCAGACATGTTAACTAAGTTTAGATTTAGGTGCTCACATGACCTATTTAAGTCATTTGATCACCTGAAAATGAAAGCAAGGTCACTGCTTACATCAAGGTTACTGCTTCCTACATTATACCTACTGCTTGAAACAATACAATTTTGAAACCACTACTTTCATGGTTGCTATTTTTCAACTTCTTTTTTGTTTTTGTTAACTCAGATGGGTGCTGCAGAAGAACAGATGAAGCGGAAATGAGCTTGTCTTTCTGTTCACCTGGAAAGATCTAAGAATTATTCATCTCTCATTCTCTCCATTCATTCTGCTTGATGTCAGTAAGTATGAACAGGGACACACTCTGCTCCTCCAGCAGGAACCAGACCAATCACCCTATCAGCAACATACAAGATACACATAGAGAGGAAAGGTAACAAATGCTGTAACACCTTTAGAAGTTATCTATTCTTCCAATGCTGCATTGCTAAAACCCTTAAGAATTATGTTAGCTTTTGAACCAAAATTACACTGTATGCAGAAAGCTAGCTGACACCATGTTTCTGTCACTTGAGTAAACCTATAATCACAGGAATGTTAGCAAGAGACTTTTCTGATCTGTTATTTCAATCAAGCATTCCTTGGGGTTCTGGGTTACAGTATGCCTGGTTTTCATAACATTTAGATGTAAGGAGGAGGTCTGCTTTTTAAAGGTGCCACAACAGAACAAGGATTTAAGTTTTAATGCAAAACGACTGGAGAATGTGCAAACGTAGGTTGCTTCACAACCAAGGTACTGCCACTTAATCCGTCAGCCAACCCTAGAGAATTGTTCTCTGCATAAAGTTGCTTAAGTTAACATGTTTGGATTTGAGAGACGATTGTGGAGTGAAAGGATATTAAAAAGGCCAGAAGGAAGTGAAAAAATAAATGGCTAAGGCCAGTAGTCGGGTGGGGCAAAGAGAAAAAAGTGCACCATCAGTGATTCACTGACTGCTTTTTACATTCCTTTAAAGCACACTCAAGAAGCAGCGCCCCTAGAATATCACTTCCATTGCTCACAAGCTGTGGCACAAGTTGAAGTAATGGACTGTGGTCTTTCTAGAAATGACTGCCCCAAAATAGCTCTGGGCTCAGGCAACTACAGTCGTGGTAGAGGAAATCCAAATGAGAAAAGAGAAGGCTAAGTGTGAAATGCTAGTTTCCAGGAAGAGACCAGAGAACTTGGAATGCCCACAGTAGCTGATATTAATGATGAGCTAGTGTCTTTGAGGGTACTGCCACTATCAATAGCTGCAAAGGCAGGAAAACATCTGAGGAGTATCAACTCCTCTTAACAGACTGATACAAATCAAATTGCCACCACAGGGTGCTGAATGCCAGTACATCCAGTAGCAACAGATTATTTACAGAGCACACTTCTGTAGTAACTGTGAAACATTAGATGCAAGTCAAAGTATTTCCCTACCACTTCAATATCAAAATATTTTAACTCCTCGTGAGAAGTCAAAATTGGAAATTAAGAAAAACACTCTTGTTATTGCTTGCATTGGATAACAATTCTTCCTACAAATATACTTTAAGTATTTCATTATCGTCTTAGTATTTTTTGTGTTAGTATTTTATTGTGTTACCATCCTCTTACCACATACAGCCACAAAACAAGCCTTTTCTCTGTCTACATTGAAATGCTCCATTTGGGCAGGGAAGAGAAGCAAGAGATACTTCCCGGTAAATTTTCAGCAAGTGTTTTAAACAGATTAGCAGACACTACAACTATTCTTGTGATGTGAAATTGCCTGGCTTTAGCTGCTATAGCCTCATGTACACGTGCAAGAAATAACCCAGAAGAGCATTCAAGCCTTCTACATACAAGTTTGATGATGAGAAAAAGTACATACTCAGGAAGTTCATAGATGGCACAAAATGAGGACGTGTGGTTCTTGCACTACGACATCACTGCCATTCTAAGGAACTTTAACAGGCTGAGAAACGTGCTGGCAAGAACCTCAGGAAATTAGTTCAACAAAAGGAAACGCCAAGTCCTGCAAGTGGGGAGGAATAACCCCTGCACCTGGACATGCTGAGAAACCATCTACGCAGAAAGAAACCTGGGGGTCCAGGTAGACACCGGGCTGAATACGGGCCAGCAACAAGCCTTTGTGGCAAAGGCCAGTGATGTCTTGGCTGCACAAGACAAAGCATTGCCAGCAAACAGAGGGAGGTGAGTCTGCTTGAAGACTTCACTTAATAAAGTCTCCAGCCATTCTGAAATCACAGTAAGTGATTAGGCAGCAAGATGTGTGTTAAGGGTGTTACAACTGTAAATCAAGCAGGCTTGCATCAACACAGCAAGTAGAATCTGCAAGAGCTAGTTAACTGCATATACCAATAATCCTACCCACGCTTTGCATTCTAATCCGGTCTTTTTGAAGACACTTGCCTTCCTGGCAATAAATATCACTCTGCTAAACAGTTCTAAAAAAAAAAATCTCAGTATCACGTGCATTTTTATGTAATTTTTTAAAGCATTTTACAGCTTAGTGAATAACTCATTACCTTAATGGCTACAGGAATTCAACAGTATTTATATCAGAGTGAAACAAACTCCTATCATGCTTGGTGCCACAACTTCACCTTGCAAGCAGTCTATTGAATCTTGTTGCAAATAAGATTATAAAAAATTTTAAAAAAATAAAAATAAAGGCAGCAGCAGTAAGAAGCTGTATCTCAATACTTTACTGTTCTCTGCTCGTAGTAAGCATTGTCCTATCTTTCATAATTTTAGAGAATCCCTAACTACTAGTCATCAGCTTGCTGTCAAGAACAACTTGCATTTTGTTAGTATTCTGTATCCATTCCCCTGTTGTCTATTTCAGGATATCTTTTCTATAAGAAAGGATATCCTTCAGAAGGATATTTGACCAAGTGAACAAAATGCTACCTGTAGATACTGTTCACAACAATAAACAGAAGATTGGATACTTAAGAAGTTGTTGAAGGGAGGCTTGCAAAGTGCCTGGAGATGAGCAGTAGGAATTGTGAACAGAGGATATCACCACTCTTTGACTTCTACTCACACAAAAATCCAGTGAATTTGACAATTTGAAAAACAGGTATTACTACCAAATATTGTGCTTTCTGACTCCATGTGTATGCTGCGCTGGGTCTATGTAACATTTCAACTGAAATTGTTGTTTAATTCCATGGTCAACCAAACCGACCTTATTGAATTGCCAGATGCCCACCCAATTGCTCCTCCTAGTCGTATCGTTAGCATTCACAAATGTGGTTACACATACTTTACTTAATGGTGCACTGTATCGTGTTTTGTTCTGTGAGCAAAGATATTCAGGTTAGGGATTCTTACTTTTTTTTTTCCCCCCCTTCCTGAGTAGTTTATCACAGCATAGCAGGGATTGGAAGCAACCTCAAGAGATCATTGAGTTCAGCTTCCTTGCTAACGCAGATACTCTACAACAGAATGCACAGCTAGGCGTCCAAATGGGTCTTGAATATTTCCACAGCAGACAACTCCATCATCTTTTCAGTTTTCCATAAAAATGATAAAACAGAACTAGTGATACTTCTGTAATACTTGTAAACATAAAAAGTGATGTAGAAAGTTAGTACCACAGGGGTAAGACAGACAAACTAAAAGCCATTGTTTCCCTAATTGCAGCAGTTACCACTTTATAATTAGTTTTTAGATTTTAAAGAAAACCTGAATATATCATAATGTGCTTTTAAATAAGTAGGAGTTAAGAAGAAATTCTTTACTATGAGGATGGTGAGGCATCAAAACAGACTGCCCAGAGAAGCTGTGGCTGACCTGCTGTAGAAGCGTTCAAGGCCAGGCTGAGTGGGGCTTTGAGCAACCTGGTCTACTGAGACACATTTGTGTCTATGGCAGCATAGTTAAAACTAGATTTTTTAAGATCCTTTCCAATTCAAGCCATTCTACAAGAAAGCTCATTGCATGAGCCAGCAATGTGCTCCTGCAGCAAAGATGGCTGGCAGAGCGCTGGGCAGAGCGCTGCCAGCAAGTGGCATGCATTCTCAGGTCTCATATTCACCCCAAACTCATCCGAGACAAGGTTCTTCCGCAGCACTTCTCTCAAGGCATATTCTGCCTGTAATACACCATGTCAATTCTAAGACTGCTAATTTCAACAGTGCCACAGGAAAACTTGACATATTGAGGCATAACACAGCTCTTCAGAGATTAGAGCACCTTTTCAAATCAAAAACTGCCATGAGAAAGTCATAGTAAGTGAATAAAACCTGACAGGTTCTAACACAGTGATAACTAGAAGGACCAAACAGAGAGCAATACTGAAAAGATTACAGAAACACTGTATTTGATTCTTTGCTTCCTTTGTGACTCTTTGTAAAAATTAAAGGCCTGACAGATGTTTCCCTAGTGTGGCTTGAGATTGCCTAAAGCTTCCTTCACGCTTTCAACGGTTTTTGATTTTGCAGCCAGAAGAAACCAAACTGCACTCCAGCAGTAGGTAGATAGGGTGGTAGAATGCAATTATCATTTTGTGTAACGTAATGCACAGCCAGAATGAAGTTAGCATGGCCTTCACACCTACAAGTAATCATACAGCCACACAGCTGCAATTCAAATCATGCCTCCAAATTGCTTCCGAAGAA